CTCACTCCACGCCAGTATGCGCGAACTTTATTCAATGCTTTTAATTGCTCTATTCCAAAAAATTAATTTGAGTACTAAATCGACAATTCCCTTTCTTGGTCTACGGTGCGAACGATCAGTAATGTTTTGAAGCAAACTCCCGGATGAGTAGTGGACTGTAGTAACAAACAAGAGAGAACGATACAGTCGAGCAAGCTCGACAGTGAAATACCCTGTACCCAGGTGAACTTCCGACACTGAGGTATATGCGCTTCTAGCAGAAGCAAAAGGAAGAAGAAGAGCTAACTTCATGCTGCAGCTTGTGGGCGTGTTACCGGAGTGAAATTGTTTCGCTTATAACTTTTCTTAAAACCGATTTAGATGAAATTTGAAACAAAAGTAGATTATTATGTATAAATTATGTGTGCAAAGTTTGGTTAGGGTAGCTTTTGAAATATGGACGGTATTGACGAAATTCTATAGCAGGGGAAGGGGGGGAAAATTAAAAAAAATAAAATAAACTCGTCCTTTCTCGGACCTAGGAGAATCTGGATACCAACTTTGGTTATTCCAGCTTTTATAGTTTCTGAGCTCCTTGCGTTCATCCAAACGGACAGACGGGCGGACAGACGGACGGACAGACGGACGGACGGACATACGGACGGACGGACATGTCTAGATCGATTTCTCTGAGAATTTCACAATTATAAGAAATGCCGTCGCAGCGATCACAAATATTTTAAAGGGTGTACACACTAATTAGTATACATAAACACGGTTAATGAATATAAGCATAAATAAAAGGTGTATAAACATTGTGTCGCATAGAAAATATGAAAATATAAGATATGTAGCAGGCGTTCATCGACACTTTCTGATGCACTCCTCCACTCCCCCGCAATTCACGTTTTTTCCATAACTCCCGTAATATTTGGAATTCCGAACTAAAATTTGGTAATAACATCCCACGTTAGTGATTATGTGTCTGTATGCCAAGTTTCATCAATTATGAAGAAAGTTATAGCCATAAATATAATATCTGCCGAAGCTCTGCCAGCAGCTGTTGTTGTTGTTGGTGCTTTGGTTCAACTTTGCAGCACAGTGATAAAACAAGAAAGGAATGCTACAGTCGAGCAGGCTCAACTCTTAAATACCCTGTACCACCCCACAAAAAAGTAATTTAATTAATTAATTAATTAAATTAATTAACTAAATTAATTTAATTAATTAACTAAATATTAACTAATTAAATATCAAATATTCCATGCATGCATACATTCATTTACATTTACATCAGAATCGTGCCTTATGCGTGTTTGTGTACTTGTACATATGAATGTATGTGTGCATTGGGCCTGGTTATATGGCTATAACTTTCTTTCCGATCATAATGAAACTTGGTATACGGATATATAATTACTAACCTAATGTGACTACCAAATTTAAGTTCAAAATTCCAAGAATTACGGGAGTTATAGAAAATCGTTAATAGGGGGGGAGTGGGGGGGTGGATCAGAAAAAATGAACAAACTCGTCCTTTCTCGGTTTCAGGAGAATCTGTATACCAAGTTTGGTTATTCTAGCTCTTATACTTTCGGAGATCCTTGCGTTCATACAGACAGACAGACGGACAGACAGACAGACGGACAGACGGACAGACGGACATGGCTATATCGACTCGGCTTGTCATGCTGATCAAGAATATATATACTTTGTGGGGTCTACCAAGCCACCTTCTGTGTGTTCCATGTGCACTCGCACAAAACTAATATACCCTTGTACCCTTTGGGTACAGGGTATAAAAACACGTAAATTTAAATATTTACACGTGGATTTAAATATTTTTACCATCGATTTTGACGATATTGAACGATGGTGTGGACGTGGGTTTGATTCACGCCAAAGGTTTAGTTTTTATAATTATAAAACATTTCTCCCACTTTTTTTCTACTCTTATATTTGTCTTGTTTTGAAATAGTATAACATTAAATTTAATATTAAAATATTCATCTGCAATATGCAACTTTTTATACTCTGTAAATGAAATGTATATTAGAAGTATATTAGGTTTGCGGGAGCTGAAAAATATAACAGGCAGAAGGAGGCGTGGCAGACCCCACAAAGTGTATATATTCTTGATCAGCGTGACGGGACGAGTCGATCTAGCCCTGTCTGTCTGTCTGTCTGTCCGTCTGTCTGTCTGTCTGTGCGTCCGTATGAACACCTGGATCTCAGAGACTATAAGAGATAGAGACACCAAATTTTGCACAAAGATGCCTTATGTGTGTATTCTGCACGAGTTTGTTTTATTTTTTTGATTTTCCCCCCACTTCCCCCTATGGGGGGTTTCCCAATTTTCCATTCGTATAATCGCCTATATCTCGGAGACTATAAAACCTACGGACACCAAATTTTAGTCCCAGATGCCTTGTGTGAATACGCAGAAAATGTGTACTTTGAAATTTCTCTCCCTCCCCCCTCTACCCCCGCAAATCGTAACTCCGTACTCCGTACTCCGTAATTCTTGGAATTTCGAACAAAAATTTTGGAAATACCCCCAGTTGGTGATTATGTGTCCGTATGCCAAGTTTCACTATGATAGACCGATTTAACGAGAAGTTATAGCCATAAATATATTTGCTGCTGCAGCGCTGCTCAAGCGCTGCCCGCGGCTGTTGTTGATGTTGCTGTTTGGTTGACTGCGAAAATGCTTACACAGACACGAATAGATGCGCATAGGCATACATACACTCACACAGACGCAATTGCTATGTAAATGTGCAATTATAAACCCTTTACGTGAGTTCGAATACTTTTTTTTTATTTTCTATAATTATTGTAAACATATGTACAGAGTATTTAAAAGTCAGGACACCCGACTTTAGCTTTTTTACTTGTTTGTCATACATACACGCATATAAACACGCAGAGACACAATTCTGATGCAAATTGTACGTAAACACGTATGTATGCATGTATTAAATATTTTATATTTAATTTAATTAATTAATTAAATTTAATTTAAAATAATTTTTTCTTAATTTTCATTTTTTGTGGAGAGTACTGGGTATTTTACTGTCGGGCTTGCTCGACTGTAGCGTTCTCTCTTGTTTTTCACTTTAAATATGTACAACTGTCCCGTGCTGTCGCATGGGAAAATGCCCATATATATATATATATATATATATATATATATATATATATATATATATATATATATATATATATACATATATATATATATATATATATAGACTAGGAGATATTGCCCGTCTTAACCCGGCTCAATATGTTTCCAATTGTATTTATTTTGTGTGTGCATAACCTACTTATAAGGTGAAAACCTTATAAGTTACCAGTAGGAAGGCATTTAAGGTATTTAAATGAACATTTTCTGTTCTTGACAAAAAATTGTTCAGTACTCCGTTACATTTTTGTTCTTGCCAAACTATTTCGTTCAACGAACATGACCACTATAACTAATATTTTTTAAAGCTCGTTTTCCCCCCTTTGGAGCTAGAATTTTCCAAAAGCCTTTCTTAGTGTGCTCCTACACTATGATGGATACTATGAAAGGATACTTGAGTCCAAATTTCATCTTTTACCGTTTGGGCTGTGCGTTGATCACCAATTAGTCAGGACAAACTGTTTTATATATAGAGATAACGCAACGTTTTAAGATAGACTATGTGCAAAAAAGGGGAATAATTATAAGGGTATATCCTAATTTTAAATTAACATTTGAGTCTTTTCGTGCCATATTGAGTCAATACGGTCACGCACAAACTCTGCCCGCAATGCGAAGCAGAATATGCGTAGCTCCGTTATTCGGTTTCTGCTTTACTATCGCTTACGCAGTCGTTGCCTAGCGACGGTAACTGTAAACTTTTGGCGTTTTGCCTTTGCAATTAAAATTAAATGGTCAAAACGAAAGATGTGCGAGCCAACAACTTGTTGTTTTGTATGTACATGCTACATACATATACAGGCATACATACATATGCTTGTACATATGTATGTATGCATGGGCACACATAGACAGGAACTGTTGCTTGTTGTATGTATGTGTGAGTGTGTGTATGGGATGTCCCCAACTATTTGATATTTGATATACATATGGCAAGTAAAAAACATATTGCTATATTTTAATCGTTGAATGCTAAATTGTTGATATAGTTATGTTGATAACATTACCCAAATTTGAAATCGATTGGACAAAATGTATTGTTTTGTTTGTTCTTCCTGCATTTGTAAAATGCATATTTTAAAAATCGTTAAATGCAAAGTTGTAATTTTAGTTACGTAGATTATATTACCCAAATTTGAAATCGATCGCACAAAATTTATAACACAAACTTTTCATTTGACAAAATGAATAAATATTAAAACCCCAATAATTCAAGCTCCAACACAAATTTCGAAAAACCGAGTATGCAGTTTTGTTTATATTCTTTTATAGATTATAAAAACCAAATTTAAAGTTGATCGATTCAGAAATGCAGAATTTTCAAACAAACTTTGGAGATACTTTTCCCCCCTTTGGAGCTCGAATCCCTTCTTAGTGTGCATCTACACCATGATAGGATACTTGAGCCCAAATTTCAGTTTCCTACCTTTTACCGTTTGGGCTGTGGGGTGTTGATTGTGTTTCAATTTTTCCACGGAAAACCCCCCCTTTTTCATGCCCCAGGAAAAATGGTGAAAAACCAAGTATACAGTTTTTCTTGGAATTGTTCTGAGAGTATACAAACTAAGTTTAAAGTTAATTGGATGAAAATTGTAGAATTTTCATACAAACGTTGGAGCCCGTTTTCCCCCTTTGGAGCTCGAATTTTCCGAAACCCCTTCTTAGTGCTCACTTTCACTATAAAAGGGATCTTGTGTCCAAATTTCAGCATCCTAGCTCTTACCGTTTGGGCTGTGCGTTGATTGCCAATCAGTCAGTCAGTCAGGACAAACTGTTTTATATATAGATATATATATATATATATATATATATATATATATATATATATATATATAGATGTGATAAGATTGATCTTCTGAAGCCAGTCGATGGTGCAGTCACATGTGAATGGATTTCCACCTATGTAGAACTCAGGGAGAGTACGATGCTCCTGAACTGACGAAATTCGGAGTGACTTAATGTCCAGCGTAGTGATTTGATTGGCATAGAGATCGACACGTGTTAAATTTGTCTTTTGTATAAAAGTATCAGGATCTACGGTAGTGATCATATTGTCATTGAGAAACAGCAGCTCTATTGAGTTCGGAATGGAAGCAGGGGAGATTTCTTGTATTTGATTAAAGCTTACATCAAGAGTTTGTAGCCGCAGCCCTGTTTTAAAGCCGTAGCGATTAAGAAGTGTTCGTAAACAATTTTTATGTAAGTCCAACCATTGCAATGTACCAGGTATGTACCAATAATCAAATTCTTCTATTCGGTTATCAGAAATATTCAACCAAAGTAACGAAGGCATATTGCTGAAAAGCCCATTGATATCAGCCAGCTCATTTCCATCCAAACGAATTGCCTGAATGCTGGAGATTATATCAAACGCGCCAGGTTCTACGACAGACACGCGATTTCTGGCCAAGTTCAAAATTTGCAAGCTTGGTAAATCTCGAAAAGTGTGCATCGTTATATTTTCTAAATAATTTCCAATGAGTCGTAGGCCGTACAAATTTCCTAGACCTTTGAAGGCATTGTCCTCCAAAATCGTTATCATATTTTCTCCTAGGTCGACAGTGCGAAGCAGTCGTAAATTTCGCATGGCAAGCGGTACAGTTTTCAGCTGATTCCCGTTCAGATTTAAATCCTGCAAAGCACTGCAGTTGCGGAAGGCATCAGGATGTACTCCTATTAATGCATTGTTATCTAAAGAAAGCAGTGAGAGCACATATAGTCCATTAAGAGCATAGGCATCTAAATAATTCAGCCTATTGTGAGAGAGAAGTAACGTGTGCAGATTGTTCATGGGCGCAAATGTATCGGCAGATATACTTTCCAATTGATTATAGCGCAAATTTAATATTTGAAGGGTATACAAATCACTAAAAATCTCGGGCTCCAATTTGCTTAATTTATTGTGGGACAAATTTAGCAAAACAAGCCGAATAAGGCCCACAAAAGTGTTGCGATCAATCCAAGTGGATGTAATTTGATTGAAGGACAAATCCAAAGTTTGAAGTTGATCAAGATTGGAAAACAGCTGTGGCGATAATACACTGATAGAATTATTCTGCAGGTAGACCTCCTGGATTGTTTTGCTTTGCTCCCCAAAAAGCTCAGATGGGAGTGCAACAATTTTATTTGAACTCAAATTGAGCACTTGTAAATTTTTTAGACCAGCCAAAGCTTTGTCCGCTATCATCGAAATTTCATTATTATTCACTTGCAGTATCCGTAATCGTCGCAACATACCAAAACCACTGGCAGGTAGTAGTACAAAGTGATTAAAACTAACATCCAATAGCTCCAAGTCCAGACTGCAGGATGTATGAATTATGCGCTTACTAGCCTGAGTGGTAAATGTATCCGTGGAAGTACTAGGAGCTTCCTTAGAGTGATCTCTGAACCCCAACTCATTAACATCTTGCAGGCGATTCTCACTCATATTTAAGGCAGACAATGCAGTCAGAGTGCAAAATATGTTGTCAGGCAGGGACCATATATTATTTGAAGACAAGTCAAGGCGCTCAAGCTGCTTAGCCACAACGAAGGCTTCCGGTTCAATCTCAAAGTTTAGGGCTGGCCAAAGTGTATTATGTGTACGCACAGTAAGATTGCGCAGATGTTCCATTCCGGATAGTACATAACGCCCAAACTTCTCCAGCTTGCAGTATTCTATAGACAATTGTTGCAGTTGAGACAGGTGTGCAAATGAGTGCTCCTTTAGTTTGCTTTTGGTCATGATTTCGTCATTGCAGAGTATGTGTAATGCTACCGTATGCTCAGCAGGAATCACACTGAAGTTCGTTGTATCAAATTCGCTGTTTACTGTACGCAGACTGCACGTTAGCGCTACATCAGGGTGCCTTAGGTCTGCGGCGGGTAAAAAGTGGCAGTCATCGGGTGCATCGTAGACAACGTCACCACCCATACCCATCAGCCCACCAGCGCCGCCATGTGCAGTTACCGAGGGCAGTAATATCTGTGAATTACTAACGCCTGCCTCGCCCATTATGGCATTGGAATGTTTTTGTTGTTGATGCATGCTGGTCAGTTCAGGCTGAAGTTGCTGTTGCTGTGGTGGTGCGGCTAAGCTGCAACCAACACTGGCTAATAACAGCAGGCACATGGGCGAATATGTAGCCATTTTAGGGTGCCAGCAAAAATAGAAGGGAGCCGAGCGAATATATAAATCAATTCTTCCGATGGCCAAAATACTCAACGCGCATTTTGGTCGAACCCGACGAATGTAGTCGTATTCGTATGGTTGGGTAATTATATTTTCGCCCAATTTCTCAGAGAGGGCCACTGAACCAAATTGCTTGCCTTTATGTGGCCCCGTCACTTCACGCACATTTCCTTGGATATGTAGCTAACTCAGTTTGAAGCTGTATTTCAATTACACGCCGCGTTTTATTTGTTGCTGTAGATTGTTGAAGAAGAGATTGTTGTATAATTCTTTTTAGTTAAACGAGTATTAGGAAGGCCATTATTACTGTTTAATTATACTCTGTATTATTTTTGTCTTGCTTTGTTAATTTGTAGTGGAAAAAAGGATTCGGATTTCGACGTAGTGCCGCCCAGCTTGTACGATATCTGAATGTCAACTGAGTACAGGAGCGTGAATAGCCACCCTTAAAAAGAGATAGGCTTGTGGCAGCTGCAGAGCGGGTATTACCGAGAGAGCAAATGAGCACAAGCGCAGAGGGAGTGCTCGGGAAATTTTCTCCCCTTACGTAAATGGGTGCAGGATAATGGAAAGCCGATACACAATCTTATTTTTGTATTTTGAGTGTGAAGCTACCACAGCGCGACACAAAGTTGCGACACAAGTGTCTTTTACTTTTTTTTTCCACATTTGGTTATAATAATTGGTTATATATAACCAATACTATATATAAAAAATAATGGTATAAGGTTCATTGCTTGATAATTTGTATTTAAATAGTTTAATAGATTGTTTTGTTCCTCACTAAGTTTGCCCCAATGAAAAATTTACATATTTGTCATATCTATTTTAAAAAGTGCAGTTGGAGTTTGACTTAATTTTATTTTATGTGTTCTTCGTAACTTATGCACTCGTATAGTATTTTATTATTATTTTATTATTATTATTGTTATTTTATTTTTTGTAATTCATCAAGTTCGCTCTTCTTCTTCCTTATGCTAGAGGCGCATATAACAAGTGTCGGAAGTTTATCTGGGTACAGGGTATTACGCTGTCGAGCTCGCTCGAATGTAGCGCTCTCTCTGGTTATTGATAGATTTGCCATACATTTATAAAAAAAATTGCTTCAAAATCATAGCCCAATAGAAGAAAGGTGTAGTATATTATATTTTGTCACATGTCATCCGAAATTGGGTCAACAACTGCCCATTTGATAATGTAATGTGAGAATATAATGTATGAAGCATCATATTTCATAAAAAATAACATCTCGAAGTTCACCGCTGTAAGGTTAAACAGCATTTTTTTTTTTAATATGTGTTCGACTTATGCAGCAGAAATAGAAAACAAAGACAAAATCCTTAATGATACAAGAGTGCTGTAAATTATTTACGGAGGTACCTTATGCTTTTTAATAAAAAACAATTTTAGAAAATAATAGAACGAATCTGTGGATCCAAGGACAATAGCCATTGCCTCATAGACGAAGTCGTCAACATGTTAAGCTACATTTGCTCGTGTGTATCGAGTAGAGCCTGAGTGGCCTATGTTGAGATTGTTGTACAGCCTGACCGCTGCAAAGGCTGCAAATTCACCTAAAGCAATGCAGAAATTGACTCTCATTTTTCTCACTAGGTCAGGGAAATTTGTTCGCGATTTTGCAGGGTATGAGTGCTGCTGCCATTTATTCATCCCAAAAAACATTTATTTTATGTTATTAATATCTAGAGTAACCAAGTTTAGTCTGTACGTTCTCCGAAGCGCACTCGAACTAAAACAACAATTACAGTTTCTCGCTCATTACATTTCCGGCACATGGGTAAATTTTCTCTAAAATGGCGTTGATCGACTTACGAAATACATGGAAACTAGTGTCAAAATATCAGTTTCGTAGCTTTTACCATTGGATCTGTGCGTTTATCGCCTATTAGCTAGTTGAGACAAACTGTTATACTCGTACATATGTATATACTTGTAGTCGCTGAACACTGGTGTTCGTATTTCATATACCGATTTCGTCAGAGGTGGTGGACTCAATGAGGTACGAAAAACACATAGTCTATCTTAAAACCATGCGTTTTACATACTATATGTATGCACTTTATTGTTGAAATAATCACTTGATTTTATTGTAATGTAAGCCATATATATATATATATATATATATATATAACAGTTTGTCTCAACTAGCTAATAGGCGATAAACGCACAGATCCAATGGTAAAAGCTACGAAACTGATATTTTGACACTAGTTTCCATGTATTTCGTAAGTCGATCAACGCCATTTTAGAGAAAATTTACCCATGTGCCGGAAATGTAATGAGCGAGAAACTGTAATTGTTGTTTTAGTTCGAGTGCGCTTCGGAGAACGTACAGACTAAACTTGGTTACTCTAGATATTAATAACATAAAATAAATGTTTTTTGGGATGAATAAATGGCAGCAGCACTCATACCCTGCAAAATCGCGAACAAATTTCCCTGACCTAGTGAGAAAAATGAGAGTCAATTTCTGCATTGCTTTAGGTGAATTTGCAGCCTTTGCAGCGGTCAGGCTGTACAACAATCTCAACATAGGCCACTCAGGCTCTACTCGATACACACGAGCAAATGTAGCTTAACATGTTGACGACTTCGTCTATGAGGCAATGGCTATTGTCCTTGGATCCACAGATTCGTTCTATTATTTTCTAAAATTGTTTTTTATTAAAAAGCATAAGGTACCTCCGTAAATAATTTACAGCACTCTTGTATCATTAAGGATTTTGTCTTTGTTTTCTATTTCTGCTGCATAAGTCGAACACATATTAAAAAAAAAAATGCTGTTTAACCTTACAGCGGTGAACTTCGAGATGTTATTTTTTATGAAATATGATGCTTCATACATTATATTCTCACATTACATTATCAAATGGGCAGTTGTTGACCCAATTTCGGATGACATGTGACAAAATATAATATACTACACCTTTCTTCTATTGGGCTATGATTTTGAAGCAATTTTTTTTATAAATGTATGGCAAATCTATCAATAACCAGAGAGAGCGCTACATTCGAGCGAGCTCGACAGCGTAATACCCTGTACCCAGATAAACTTCCGACACTTGTTATATGCGCCTCTAGCATAAGGAAGAAGAAGAGCGAACTTGATGAATTACAAAAAATAAAATAACAATAATAATAATAAAATAATAATAAAATACTATACGAGTGCATAAGTTACGAAGAACACATAAAATAAAATTAAGTCAAACTCCAACTGCACTTTTTAAAATAGATATGACAAATATGTAAATTTTTCATTGGGGCAAACTTAGTGAGGAACAAAACAATCTATTAAACTATTTAAATACAAATTATCAAGCAATGAACCTTATACCATTATTTTTTATATATAGTATTGGTTATATATAACCAATTATTATAACCAAATGTGGAAAAAAAAAGTAAAAGACACTTGTGTCGCAACTTTGTGTCGCGCTGTGGTAGCTTCACACTCAAAATACAAAAATAAGATTGTGTATCGGCTTTCCATTATCCTGCACCCATTTACGTAAGGGGAGAAAATTTCCCGAGCACTCCCTCTGCGCTTGTGCTCATTTGCTCTCTCGGTAATACCCGCTCTGCAGCTGCCACAAGCCTATCTCTTTTTAAGGGTGGCTATTCACGCTCCTGTACTCAGTTGACATTCAGATATCGTACAAGCTGGGCGGCACTACGTCGAAATCCGAATCCTTTTTTCCACTACAAATTAACAAAGCAAGACAAAAATAATACAGAGTATAATTAAACAGTAATAATGGCCTTCCTAATACTCGTTTAACTAAAAAGAATTATACAACAATCTCTTCTTCAACAATCTACAGCAACAAATAAAACGCGGCGTGTAATTGAAATACAGCTTCAAACTGAGTTAGCTACATATCCAAGGAAATGTGCGTGAAGTGACGGGGCCACATAAAGGCAAGCAATTTGGTTCAGTGGCCCTCTCTGAGAAATTGGGCGAAAATATAATTACCCAACCATACGAATACGACTACATTCGTCGGGTTCGACCAAAATGCGCGTTGAGTATTTTGGCCATCGGAAGAATTGATTTATATATTCGCTCGGCTCCCTTCTATTTTTGCTGGCACCCTAAAATGGCTACATATTCGCCCATGTGCCTGCTGTTATTAGCCAGTGTTGGTTGCAGCTTAGCCGCACCACCACAGCAACAGCAACTTCAGCCTGAACTGACCAGCATGCATCAACAACAAAAACATTCCAATGCCATAATGGGCGAGGCAGGCGTTAGTAATTCACAGATATTACTGCCCTCGGTAACTGCACATGGCGGCGCTGGTGGGCTGATGGGTATGGGTGGTGACGTTGTCTACGATGCACCCGATGACTGCCACTTTTTACCCGCCGCAGACCTAAGGCACCCTGATGTAGCGCTAACGTGCAGTCTGCGTACAGTAAACAGCGAATTTGATACAACGAACTTCAGTGTGATTCCTGCTGAGCATACGGTAGCATTACACATACTCTGCAATGACGAAATCATGACCAAAAGCAAACTAAAGGAGCACTCATTTGCACACCTGTCTCAACTGCAACAATTGTCTATAGAATACTGCAAGCTGGAGAAGTTTGGGCGTTATGTACTATCCGGAATGGAACATCTGCGCAATCTTACTGTGCGTACACATAATACACTTTGGCCAGCCCTAAACTTTGAGATTGAACCGGAAGCCTTCGTTGTGGCTAAGCAGCTTGAGCGCCTTGACTTGTCTTCAAATAATATATGGTCCCTGCCTGACAACATATTTTGCACTCTGACTGCATTGTCTGCCTTAAATATGAGTGAGAATCGCCTGCAAGATGTTAATGAGTTGGGGTTCAGAGATCACTCTAAGGAAGCTCCTAGTACTTCCACGGATACATTTACCACTCAGGCTAGTAAGCGCATAATTCATACATCCTGCAGTCTGGACTTGGAGCTATTGGATGTTAGTTTTAATCACTTTGTACTACTACCTGCCAGTGGTTTTGGTATGTTGCGACGATTACGGATACTGCAAGTGAATAATAATGAAATTTCGATGATAGCGGACAAAGCTTTGGCTGGTCTAAAAAATTTACAAGTGCTCAATTTGAGTTCAAATAAAATTGTTGCACTCCCATCTGAGCTTTTTGGGGAGCAAAGCAAAACAATCCAGGAGGTCTACCTGCAGAATAATTCTATCAGTGTATTATCGCCACAGCTGTTTTCCAATCTTGATCAACTTCAAACTTTGGATTTGTCCTTCAATCAAATTACATCCACTTGGATTGATCGCAACACTTTTGTGGGCCTTATTCGGCTTGTTTTGCTAAATTTGTCCCACAATAAATTAAGCAAATTGGAGCCCGAGATTTTTAGTGATTTGTATACCCTTCAAATATTAAATTTGCGCTATAATCAATTGGAAAGTATATCTGCCGATACATTTGCGCCCATGAACAATCTGCACACGTTACTTCTCTCTCACAATAGGCTGAATTATTTAGATGCCTATGCTCTTAATGGACTATATGTGCTCTCACTGCTTTCTTTAGATAACAATGCATTAATAGGAGTACATCCTGATGCCTTCCGCAACTGCAGTGCTTTGCAGGATTTAAATCTGAACGGGAATCAGCTGAAAACTGTACCGCTTGCCATGCGAAATTTACGACTGCTTCGCACTGTCGACCTAGGAGAAAATATGATAACGATTTTGGAGGACAATGCCTTCAAAGGTCTAGGAAATTTGTACGGCCTACGACTCATTGGAAATTATTTAGAAAATATAACGATGCACACTTTTCGAGATTTACCAAGCTTGCAAATTTTGAACTTGGCCAGAAATCGCGTGTCTGTCGTAGAACCTGGCGCGTTTGATATAATCTCCAGCATTCAGGCAATTCGTTTGGATGGAAATGAGCTGGCTGATATCAATGGGCTTTTCAGCAATATGCCTTCGTTACTTTGGTTGAATATTTCTGATAACCGAATAGAAGAATTTGATTATTGGTACATACCTGGTACATTGCAATGGTTGGACTTACATAAAAATTGTTTACGAACACTTCTTAATCGCTACGGCTTTAAAACAGGGCTGCGGCTACAAACTCTTGATGTAAGCTTTAATCAAATACAAGAAATCTCCCCTGCTTCCATTCCGAACTCAATAGAGCTGCTGTTTCTCAATGACAATATGATCACTACCGTAGATCCTGATACTTTTATACAAAAGACAAATTTAACACGTGTCGATCTCTATGCCAATCAAATCACTACGCTGGACATTAAGTCACTCCGAATTTCGTCAGTTCAGGAGCATCGTACTCTCCCTGAGTTCTACATAGGTGGAAATCCATTCACATGTGACTGCACCATCGACTGGCTTCAGAAGATCAATCTTATCACATCTCGCCAGTATCCACGCATTATGGACTTAGATACAATTTACTGCAAACTTTTAAATAGTCGGGAACATCCTTACATACCGCTAATGGAAGCCGAGCCGAAGCACTTCCTTTGCTCGTATAAAACACACTGCTTCGCCGTCTGTCACTGCTGCGAGTTTGATGCGTGTGATTGCGAAATGACGTGCCCCAATAATTGCACCTGCTTCCATGACCAAACCTGGTCTACCAATATTGTGGAGTGCTCTAGCGCTGGATATTTGAAAATGCCCCGCCGTGTACCTATGGACACCACCGAGCTTTACATTGATGGCAATTATCTTGTAGAGCTGGCCGGCCATTCGTTCTTGGGACGCAAAAACTTGGTCGTCCTTTATGCAAATAGCTCCAATCTGCGCAAAATGTACAACACCACATTCAGTGGACTAAAAAGACTTCTCGTTCTTCACCTCGAAAACAATAATTTATATTCACTGGAAGGCAGTGAGTTTCAACACCTTGAAAGCCTGCGTGAGCTATACTTGCAGCAAAACAAGATAGTCAGCATAGCTAACGGAAGCTTTCAAATGCTTCTAAAACTAGAAGTGTTGCGTCTCGATGGAAATCGCCTTATTTATTTTGAGGTCTGGCAGCTTTTGGGCAATCCCTATCTAGTGGAGATAAGCTTGGCTGATAATCAATGGTCCTGTGAGTGTGGTTACCTGGCACGTTTTCGCAATTATCTCTCGCACAACTCTGAAAAAATAATTGACGCCGCTCGAGTCAGTTGCATTTACAACAATGCCACCAGCGTTTTACGTGAAAAGAATGGAACCAAGTGCACCCTACGTGATGGTGTCGCTCACTACATACACACAAATCGAATCGAGGAGCTTTTGCCATTACTGCTTGTGGCAACTTGTGCCTTCATATGCTTCTTTGGGCTCATATTTGGTTTATTTTGCTACCGCCATGAGTTCAAGCTATGGGCACAGTCAAGCTGCTTGTTGAATAAGTGCTACAATTCAACGCCTTTTATTGACCAGCTAGACAAGGACCGACCCAATGATGCATACTTTGCATATAGTCTTCAAGATGAGCACTTTGTGAACCAAATATTGGCTAGCACGCTTGAGAGCGATATCGGATACCGACTCTGTCTACACTACCGTGATGTAAACATCAATGCTTACATCACAGACGCTCTTGTTGAGGCCGCTGAAAGTGCTAAGCAGCTCGTCTTGGTGCTATCAAAAAATTTACTTTACAACGAATGGACTCGCTTTGAATACAAGAGCGCGCTGCACGAGCTTATGAAGCGTCGAAAGCGAATGGTCATTATCTTGTATGGCGATCTGCCACAACGTGATATAGATGTGGACATGCGTCATTACTTGCGTACGAGCACGTGCATTGAGTGGGACGACAAGAAATTCTGGCAAAAACTTCGCATAGCACTACCCCAGTCGCATTTACGGGAAGGCAACAGCAGACATAAACTGAACAGTCGGACATCGGCCCACATTGGCGATAAGATATACGCTGAATGCAATAACTACGCAACTATTAATGAGTGCACTCGAGGATATAAATCTATTCCAACCTCGGCGGCGACCACAGCGGCTACATGTAAATTTAACACTATGAATCAACTTACCAAAAAGCAACAGCAAATAGCAGTCTCCCTGGCTACCACGGCAAAAACGCTCGAACACCAGCATCAGCGACGTAATCATCACGAATACGCCGTGCCGGCGTATTTTCCAGTACCTACGCCGCAAGTTCAGCAGGTGCCAGCCTATGACTATATAGACTATACGAAGCAACAGACACTAAAGCCCGCAATAGTAACCAACTGCGAGTGCATGGAATCGGCAAAAAAATCAGCCCCCGTGAGAACAATGAAGGTAGAAAGTGACCTGCCAAACTTTATGGCTCCACCATTTGGCAACAATAGCGATAGCAATTTAAGGAAGCCCTGTAACTGCAACGCGACTGATCAGCTACTGTGCGGCTGCGGTGGTCTACAAAGCGGCACTCAGAGTAGCGCAACTATGAGCAGCAACTCAAACAATAGTCGGCAGCCCGAACTGACGGGATATGAGTCAAACATCTCCCTCAATGAGCTCGATGCCCTAGATCTAAACAACGGGGCTGGTGAAGACAGCGACGATGGAGCTTTGAAACCTTTGTCTGAGCAGTGGGCGTAACGGCTGTAGCAGAAAGTAGAAATAGCTGTAAACTAACAAAATCAGAATGTAAGCCTAGTTCATTTGTAAGTAGGATATAAAAAGTGTTGTACTTATATATGTCAGTACTATCTGGCGATAGGACAGCGCATACTCTGTTCAACAATTTGTTTCATAGGCGGTGGTTATTGTTAAGCAGACTGATATTTTAGTTCTTTATTTGTATTTTTGTTGGAATTAATTAACACATTAATTATTGACGATTTAAAGTCTACACCTGTAAATAAAATCACAACCGAAACAGATTAATTAACTAAATAACATTAATATTGCCGTAAAATATAAAGTAAACTGTTTTTATATATGTAAAAATGTAAAGAAGTTTTTATGTACAAATAAGCAAAACTATTCACTACTCCAAAATGAATTTCTATACACATAGAAATCTAAATCAGTGATTATACTCATACTTTTTTAACTAAGCATACTCGTAACTTATCTCGCAGATGACTAAAAACATAGCCAACCAAATTATCCTAGCAAGTAAGAAATTATTATAAAATACTTTTTTAACACCATGCGCCAGACACACATGTGTATGTATATACATATAGCACATTTTTATAGTAATAAAAATTATTATAATGCAGCTGCAATAAATAGCAATAATAATATCTGGCGCTAATAGATAGGAAATAATCACATTTTATTTAATTAACTAAGTCCTTTAGCCTTTGGTTATGGTGAATTTTGTTTATTTTATCGATTAAATATTTATAAACAAAAATCATTGGCTGCACCTAAAGTATAATATACTTGTACTAGCGTTCTCCCCCTGCTTCGCACGCGTATTTCTACAAAAATTTTAAAAATTATACCTTTTATAACATCTTTTTGCTATTTTAATGATTTTTTGTTCGTTTTTAGATTTTTTGTTATTCTTTATTACAAGTAGGTCAGAGGTTCTCTGTAGAAGATATTTGATGTTTTATTTTGTGGTAGCGAAATAAATTGATTTTCAGGAGCTCCGACCCGTGATAGGTCAACATACCGTAAAACATTACTTTCGTATGTCAATCCATACAAATTCGAAGGCTTGGCCTTGGGACTACCGGAAATTGAAGCCATATAAATGATCAAATGGGATCATCGGTATCCTTTTTATGTGAGCTAGTTGACCAACTGCTGGGCCGTTGATAATAGTTGCTACACTTAAATTGTCCTGCAATTCCTTAATAAGCAGCATCGTCCCATTGCACATGCTTGGAAGGCTTTTATTTCTCAAAAGCATGATTGCAATTCCGAATTTTACCGTCAAATCCTGTGGCGGCAGTCCAAAGGGGTTTAGTGAATTTAAATGTCTTCAATATTAATCACGATGTCGATCGATTTGTAATTATACTCTGTACATGAAATGTACAGAAGTATATTAGGTTTGCGGGAGCTGAAAAATGTAACAGGCAGAAGGAGGCGTGGCAGACCCACAAAGTATATATATTCTTGATCATATTCCGTCTGTCAGTCTGTCCGTCCATATGAACACCTGGATCTCAGAGACTATAAGAGATAGAGACACCAAATTTTGCACGAAGATGCGTTATGTGTGTATTCTATACGAGTTTGTTTTATTTTTTTGATTTTCCCCCCCACTTCCCCCCTATGGGGGTTTTCCCGATTTTCCATTCGTATAATCGCCTATATCTCGGAGACTATAAGACCTAGGAACACCAAATTTTAGTCCCAGATGCCTTATGTGAATACGCACAAAATGTATACTTTGGAATATTCCTCCCTCCACCGCAAATCGCAATTTTCTCTAACTCCCGTAATTCTTGGAATTTCCTACTAAAATTTTGGAAATACCCCCAGTTGGTTATTATGTGTCCGTATGCCAAGTTTCACTATGATAGACCGATTTAACGAGAAGTTATAGCCATAAATATATTTGCTGCTCAAGCGCTGCCCGCGGCTGTTGTTGATGTTGCTGTTTGGTTGACTGCGAAAATGCTTACACAGACACGAATAGATGCGCATAGGCATACATACACTCACACAGACGCAATTGCTATCTAAATGTGCAATTATAAACCCTTTACGTGAGTTCGAATACCAAGAGAGGTAAAATCGATCAAATTTTTTTTTTATTTTCTTAATTTTTGTTATATGTACAGAGTATTTCAAAGTCGGGACACCCGACATTAGCTTTTTTACTTGTTTTTTATTTGGCGGGGGGCTTTTAAATAATATTGCCTTAATATTTAAAGTGACATTGTTTCGAGGATGATTAACAGCATGCTATTCAGGAGTTTTTTAAGTAAATTTGTTTACACCTTTGGTTACAGTATTGGCGTTTTAGTTCCATTCTTTTTTGCAAATATAATATAGCCCATGTTAGCCGTCGATAGTGTAACTTCCCAACTGTGAAAGAATCCATTAAATCGGTTCAGTAGATTCGGAGCCTTTTCAATTCAAACAAACAAACATACAAGCAAACAAACAAGCAATCAAATCTTTCCTCTTTACAATATTAGTATAGATAGAGTAGTGTGCCCTTCCCTATTTACAATTCGTAGTTCCTAGTTATCACCCGCAACCGTGTACATGGTACATATGTACAAGAATATATTAGGTTTACGGCAGGTGAAAAATGTAACATAAAATAAATTTAGTTTATTATTATTATTGTTAACTCCACTTACAATTGCAAATTGCAAGCATCTTGTGATCTAAGCTATAGCAGCTAAGGCCTTAAGCTTATCAGTGTCAACTTATTTACAATGTGTTTACTTGAGTCTAGATTTATTTACATTTCTTATTATACTCTGTACATGAAATGTACAAGAGTATATTAGGTTTACGGGAGCTGAAAAATGTAACAGGCAGAAGGAGGCGTGGCAGACCCCACAAAGTATATATATTCTTGATCAGCGTGACAAGACGAGTCGATCTAGCCCTGTCTGTCTGTCTGTCCGTCCGTATGAACACCTGTATCTCAGAGACTATAAGAGATAGAGACACCAAATTTTGCACAAAGATGCGTTATGTGTGTATTCTATACGAGTTTGTTTTATTTTTTTGATTTTCCCCCCCCACTTCCCCCCTATGGGGGTTTACCCGATTTTCCATTCGTATAATCGCCTATATCTCGGAGACTATAAGACCTAGGCACACCAAATTTTAGTCCCAGATGCCTTGTGTGAATACGCAGAAAATGTATGTTTTGGAATTTCCCTCCCTCCCCCCTCTCCAATGCAAATCGTAACTCCCGTAATTCTTGGAATTTCGAACTAAAATTTTGCAAATATCCCCAGTTAGTAATTATGTGTCCGTATGCCAAGTTTCACTATGATAGACCGATTTACCAAGAAGTTAGACCATAAATATATTTGCTGCTGCAGCGCTGCTCAAGCGCTGCTCAAGCGCTGCCCGCGGCTGTTGTTGACTGCGAAAATGCTTACACAGACACGAATTGATGCGCATAGGCATACATGCACTCACACAGACGCAATTGCTATGTAAATGTGCAATTATACACCCTTTACGTGAGTTCGAATACCTTCAGAACAGATTGCGAATTTACCAGTTTGTTTGGCTGCATATTTGCATGCTGCGAGTATGGCTGAGATTTCTGCTGTAAAAATGGAGGAGAAGTGGGGAAGTTGTTGGTAAGTGATGGTTTCCGTCGACGCACAGTGGGGCCTTCGGACTTTTTTCGTTGCAAAAATCATATCTTCTGAACGGCTGAAGCAATTTTCGTCATTCAAATTTTGTTTGAAAGAAAAATTCTTAAGCTTTGAAACAAGTCATAGCGCATTGTGCTGTGATTTGTAGGAGCTGCGCAATGTGTGCTCAAAGTTGGATTTTGTTGCCAGTGCAATATTTGCCTAATCAAACTAATAAAAAACATTTAATGATACAATTATTTTCAGTTATGTTATATTTTTAGTTTTTAACAAATTAAAAATTGAAAAAAAAATTGTTTAAATATTACAAATTTTTTTTTTAATTTAAAAATATTGAAAATTTTTTTTACATAAAAAAAAATTAAAATAAAATATTTTGTTAATATTTTATGATTACATTAATTTTTATTATAAAGTACTGACAGCTGCAATTATTTACATTAATATGTTTTCTTTAAAATAGTCGTCTACATTCGAAGGAATATCTAATAATTTCACCATGTCCGAAGAATAATTACTAACTAATTCTTTGTGAGACCTCACATGTCTAAGGGATGAAACCAGTGGATCTGAAGAGGCTGACAACATATTGAAGAGATCCTCGTTTTGCCTTATTCGTGACGTCTTGCATGTGTTCAAATATCTGAATTTTGTATAGTCCTTGTTCCTCGACTCTTGGGCTTCCTCTGACATTTCTCAAAATGGTCATGAAGTGTTACTTGCACTGACTGTTCCGTCACTATTGTGGGCTGAGGTACTGCCTCTTTCTTAGCCGATCCTATTTGCTTGTACCCAGGAAGAACATCAACATTATGCCGAATTAGGGAATGTCGCAATATTAAATATTTTTCCTTTGACAATCCCAAATCCATAAACAATGCCAAAGCCTCATAGGCACTGAACTGCTTTGGCAGTAAGTTTGGCGGAGTAGGAATGCTTTCCTTGATCCTTTTAAGTCGCACTGGGCTTGCGTCAGCAACCGCTTTTGTGACTTGCGATTTTATTTTTTCCTGATCCTTGGTGTATTTCATGGACAGCGCCTCCGACAAGTGATCCGTAGCTATGGCTTCTGTGACATCGACAAGCTTTCTTTTTCTTGTAAAATCCGGGCATTCTTCAATGGATTTCGTTGGTCTTCCTCTGGCTCGTCCAGTTGATGTAGAGGGTACATCGTCCATTGATGTATCCAAGTACGTAGTCGTTGATAGCCAGATTTCATATTTTAAATCAAATTTCTGCTTGCTATATCCTACGCTTATCCATTTCTGTTTGATTTTAGAATAAATTAATTTAAGCTTATTTCTCAACATTTTTTGCTGATCTGCACTTTCCAGAGCATCATACAGCTCTTCCAGAACAGCTTCTTCAAATTCCTTCTCATCATTGGAATTCCTAAATAGATCAAATAATGTTGCATTTTGCACAGCCATGTTAAAGAAAAATCACTTTTAAGGTATTTAAACGTAAATTATATTGAAAAATACTATTCACTGCTAGTTAGACACAACTGATTGCTTTTTAAGTCAAAATTCGACTATTACGCTGCACCAAAAATATTGGCAATATATACCATTTCTAAACGCATACCTAAGATAATAAAC